CTCAATTTCTTTCATGAGTGTTCTACAGTTTTCTGTGTACAGATCCTTTGCATTTTTGGTTAGGTTTATTCCTAGTCGTAGGATTTTAGGTTCAGTTGTAAATAGGATCAACTCCTTAATTTCTCTTTCTTCTGTCTCATTGTTATTGTATAGAAATGCAACTGATTTCTGTGCATTGATTTTATATCCTGCCATTTAACTGAATTCGTGTATGAGTTCTAACAGTTTTGGAGTGGAGTCTTTTGGGTTTTCCACATAAAGTATCATATCTGTGAAGAGTGAGAGTTTGACTTCTTTCTGATTTGAATGCCTTTATTTCATTTTGTTGTCTGATTGCTGAGGCTAGGACAGCTAGTACTATGTTGAACAACAGTGGTTAGAGTGGACATTCCTGTCATGTTCTTGACCTTAGAGGAAAAGCTCTTATTTTTTTCCCATTGAGATTGATACCCACTGTGGGCTTTTCATAGATGACTTTTATGATATTGAAGTATATTTCCTCTATTTCTACATTGTGAATAACTTTAATTAAGAAAAGATGCTGTACTTTGTCAAATGGTTTTCTGTATTTATTGAGGGGTTCATGTGGCTCTTGTCATTTCTTTCATTAATGTAGTGTATAACATTGATTGGTTTGTGGAGGTTGAACAAACTTTGTAGCCCAGGAATAAATCCCACTTGGTTGTGGTGAATAATGCTTGTAATGTACTCTTGGGTCTTACTGGCTAGTATCTTGGTAAGAATTTCTGCATCCATGTTCATCAGGGATATTGGTCTGTGATTCTCCTTTTACGTGGGGTCTCTGTGCTAGTTTAGGGATCAAGGTGATCCTGGCCTCATAGAATGAGTTTGGAAGTTTTCCTTCCATTTTTATTTTTTGAAGCAGCTTCTGAAGAATAGGTATTAATTCTTCTTTAAATGTTTGCTAGAATTTCTCTGGGAAGACATCCAGCCCTAGACTCTTGTTGGGAGATTTTTGATTACTGCTTCAATTTCCTTGCTGGTTATTGGTCTGTTCAGGGTTTCTATTTCTTCCTGTTTTAGTTTTGGTAGTTTACACCTCTATAGGAATGCGACCATTTCTTCCAGATTTCCTAATTTGTTGACATATTGATGCTTATAATATGTTAAAATTGTTTATATTCTTTGGTGTTGGTTGTGATCTCTCCTTTTTCATTCATGATTTTATTTATTTGGGTCTGGCTAGCGGTTTATTGATCTTCTTAATTCTTTCAAAGAATTAGCTCCTACTTTCCTTGATCTGCTCTGCTTTTTTTTTTTTTTTTTTTTTTTTGGTTTCCATTTCATTGATTTCTGCTCTAATCTTTATCATTTTTCTTCTCCTGCTGGGTTTAGGCTTTATTTGCTGTCTATTTGAGACTTCTCTTGTTTCTTGAGAAATTCTTGTATTGCCATATACTTCCCTCTTAGGACCACCTTGGATGCATCCCAAAGGTTTTGAACAGTTGTGGTTTCATTTCATTTGTTTCCATGAATTTTTAAAAATTCTTCTTTAATTTTCTGGTTCACCCATTCATTCATTCATTCTTTATTTATTTATTTTCAGCGTAACAGTATTCATTGTTTTTGCACCACACCCAGTGCTCCATGCAATCCGTGCCCTCTCCAATACCCACCACCTGGTTTCCCCAACCTCCCACCCCCCACCCCTTCAAAACCCTCAGATTGTTTTTCAGAGTCCAGAGTCTCTCATGGTTCACCTCCCCTTCCAATTTCCCTCAACTCCCTTCTCCTCTCTAATTCCCCTTGTCCTCCATGCTATTTGTTATGCTCCACAAATAAGTGAAACCATATGATACTTGACTCTCTCTGCTTCACTTATTTCACTCAGCATAATCTCCTCCACTCCCATCCATGTTGCTACAAAAGTTGAGTATTCATCCTTTCTGATGGAGGCATAATACTTCATAGTGTATATGGACCACATCTTCCTTATCCATTCATCCATTGAAGGGCATCTTGGTTCTTTCCACAGTTTGGCGACTGTGGCCATTGCTGCTATAAACATTGGGGTACAGATGGGCCTTCTTTTCACTCCATCTGTATGTTTGGGGTAAATACCCAATAGTGTAATTGCAGGGTCCTAGGGAAGCTCTATTTTTAATTTCTTGAGGAATCTCCACACTGTTTTCCAAAGTGGCTGCACCAACTTGCATTCCCACCAACAGTGTAAGAGGGTTCCCCATTCTCCACATCCTCTCCAACACATGTTGTTTCCTGTCTTGCTAATTTTGGCCATTCTAACTGGTGTAAGGTGGTATCTCAATGTGGTTTTAATTTGAATCTCCCTGATGGCTAGTGATGATGAACATTTTTTCATGTGTCTGATAGCCATTTGTATGTCTTCATTGGAGAAGTGTCTGTTCATATCTTCTGCCCATTTTTTTATATGATTGTCTGTTTTGTGTGTGTTGAGTTTGTTCATTCATTCTTTAATAGGATGCTCTTTAGCCTTTGTGTACTTGAGTTCTTTCTAAATTTCCTCTTGTGATTGAGTTTAAGTTTCAAAGATTGTGGTCTGAAATTATGCAAGGAATAATCTCAATCTTTGGTACCAGTTGAGACCTGATTTGTGACCCAGTATGTGATCTATTCTGGAGAATGTTCACTCTTCATTTGAGAAGAATGTGTATTCTGTTGCTTTCAGGTGTAATGTTCTGAATATAGCCGTGAAGTGCAAGTGTGTCATTCAATGTCCTTATTTCCTTTTTGATCTTCAGCTTAGATGATCTGTCCATTGCAGTGAGTTAGGTGTTAAAGTCCCCTACTATTACTCAATTACTATCAATGTGTTTCTTTAATTTTGTTATTAATTGGCTTCTTCCATGTGGGATATAAATATAATTCTTAGATCTTCTGGTTGGAGAGACCCTTTAATTCTTATATAGTGTCCTTCCTCATCTCTTATTACAGTCTTTGCTAAAATCTAATTTGTCTGATAAAAGGATTGCTACCCCAGCTTTCTTTTGATATCCATTAGCATGACAAATAGTTTTCCACCCCCCTCACTCTAAATATGGAGGTGTCTTTGGGTCTAAAATGAGTCTCTTGTTAACAACATATCAATGGGTCTTGCTTTTTTATCCAATCTGATTCACCATGTGTTTTGATTTGGGCATTTAGCCCATTTACATTCAGAGTAACTATTGAAAAATATGAATTTAATGCCATTGTATTAACTATAAAGTCACTGTTTCTGTAGATTGTCTCAGTTCCTTTTGGGTCTATGTTACTTCTGGTCTCTCTCTTTGCTTAAAGGATCCCTTTTAACTTTTCTTGCAGGGCTGGTTTAGTGTTCAAAAGCTCTTTTAGTTCCTGTTTGTCCTTGAAGCTCTTTATTTCTCCTTCCACTCTGAATTACAGCCTTGCTGGAGAAAGTATTTTTGGCTACATATTTTTCTCATTTGGCACCCTGATTATATCCTGCCAGTCCTTTCTGGCCTGCCAGGTCTCTGTGGATATGTCTGGTGACAGTCTAATATTTCCACCCTTGTAGATTGCAAAGCTCTTGCCCCAAGCTGATTTCAGGATTTTTCTCTTTATCTCCGGATTTGCAAGTTTCACTATTATATGTGGAGGTGTTGACCAATTTTTATTGATTTTGAGGGGCATTCTCTGTGCCTCCTGGAACATGAATGTCTGTTTCCTTCCCCCAGTTAGGGAAGTTTTCCACTATAATTTGCTCTAATATACTTTTTGCACTCCCCTCCCCCCTTCCTATTACTCTGGAATCCCAATTATTCTAGTAATGTTTCACTTCATAGTATCACTTATCTCTGAAATTCTCCCCCAATGATCCAATAGTTGTTTATCTTATTCTCAGCTTCTTTATTCTCCATCATTTTGTCTTCTGTATCACTAATTCTCTTTTCTGCCTCATTTATACTCACAGTTAGAGTCTCCATTTTTTTTTGCATCTCAATAATACACTTTTTGATTTTGACTTGATTGATTTTAGTTCTTTTATTTACCTTTATTAGAAAGGGAGTCTATACTGTCTTCTATGCATTTTTCAAAGCCAGCTAATATCTTTATAATCATTAATCTGAGCTCTAGTTCTAACATCTTACTTATCCATACTGATTAGGTCCCTGGCAGCCAATACTGTCTCTTGTTCTCTTTTTTTGTAGATAGTTTTTCTCTCTTGTCATTCTTGCAGAAAGTGGTTACTTTTTTATTTGTAAAGTTGCAGCTATTCTTTTCTTAGATCTCAGGGTGAGTTCATAGGTGTAGAGAATGATTTGATAGCTATCTAGCTGAATTCCTGGGACCAGACAAAACTAAAGTCTCCTACTCCTCCACCATCTTGGACTATTTCTCCAACATTTTGCAATATTAAACAAGTCATATTACACTTAAGTTTGTATATATGATGATCTGGATATAAAATGTGTGAAACATGATCCATATTTTACCAAGAGAGGCCTGAGGCAAAATGAGGTTCAGTAATTTGCTGACTCTCATAAAACCTATTAGTGGTAGAACTGCAGCTAAAAATCATTTCCTCATAAGAACAATGCTCTTCCCACCACAACTTAAGGCTCTTCAGAGTTTCTAGAGTAATAGAAGTGGCCATCTCTGTGACAATTATTTTTCTTCCCTGAAATATGATCCCACTTATTTATTACTAAAAATCCCAAAAATCACAAAGATGTCTACTCTGGAGTTATTTTTTGTTTGTTTCTTTAAACCCTTAAGGCATTCAGTCTTTAGAATTTCTATAATTAGGAGAAAATCTTCACTTCAAATATTTATCCAGTATAATTTGATGAAGACACAGTTCTAGGTATTGGACTGAGAACCTTTATAAAAAATCTCTGCCCAGAGACAGGTGAGGTACTTCGGCAACAGTTCAGATTGGTTCCCTTCCTAGGGACTCTCCAATCCTACTGTGCGTGGAAGCTTTCACAGGCTTTAATTCTCTGAAATGAGTATTCAGAGCTCCTAGGTAGGAGCTGTGTTGACTATCATTTCTTTTTCCTTTGTTTCCAATGATGCCTGGGAAGATGGCTTTGTGGATCTCCAAAGGCCTCTGGACAGCAGCTGAAATCATGATCCTGGTGGTCCTAAATTTCCCAGTGGCTGAGGGCAGAGATTCTCCACGTAAGTGAAGGGCACCTGCTCTGCAGAGCCACCACCTTAGGCAACAGGTTCTGAAGGAGCTTTGGGCTGGAATGTGGAAGGTTCTATGATCTCAGAATATATAATCTTTCATCACAGGTTTCCGAATATATAGTCTTTCATCACAGGTTTCCTCTCTTTGGGGTAGACAACTCTGTTACATTCTTATTTCTACTCATGATGAGCCCATCCACATCTATGGGCTCAATCCATCCTGGGGATTTTATAATGGGGAGGAGGAAACAAAACATGCATCTGCTACCACTGATGGGACAAATTGACATTGGAGTTATTTTTGAAAATAAGAATTTGTCCAAAGAAGACACAGCAGGATTTTTTATTTCAGGTCCCTGCAAGACCTTATCTAGGCTACACACTATGGGATTCTCTGTTGGAGAAATATAGGGCAGCGATAGTCTCTCCAGTCTTAGTATTTGACAAAAAGGACTTTACATTCCTGATTCTGAGTGGAGTCCAAATGGATGCAAACTCTTGGTTTTTGAGTGAAACTGACTGGATGACCACAGACAGGAAGTCTTTATTTCAGGTTTCACTGGTTTATGGTCAAATAGTAACTTGTGTGGGATTCAGAGACTTGAATTGATGGGGGACTGAATTTAGGAGAAAGGAGACTGTAAAGAAGAGGAAATAGCACATACTGAGAAGCCATTTCAGCTACAGGATTAGTATCTTCATATAAATTCTCTCTGGATTTCCCTAACACCCCTATGTGTGGGCATTATGACTTCTGTTTTACAAATTATATATATGATATCAATACTTTGTTTAGTAACCTACTCAAGCTGGTAAATGGCAGGGTTCAATGGGATCTATTTTATCTTATTCAAAGACTATGTTCTTTCTATGAATGTCTCTCTCTAGGACTTGGAAGATGTGGGTCCCTTCTAGGCCTGCAGGAGTGAGCAACCTCACAGTGCAGTTGGGTGGGTGTGACAGAAACTCAGGGTAAACCCAGGCATTAGAAGGAAGGCCCTCTGCAGGGGACCAAGAGAATATGCTTTTCAGGAGGAGGTCAAGCTTCATTTTCGACTTTTCTCCTCATTCTCTTGAACTCTTGTGCTTAGGTGGACACTTGTTTGTCTCTGAGGTTCTCTGAAGTTGTATGGGAAATGGGATTTCATGTAAGAATGTCCTGATCTGAGCACAGAGATGGATGTAAAATCAGCGGACTGCCCTGTCTTCCTCAGTTCTCAGGCTCGGGCAGAGCTCAGAGATCGCAGGAGAGGGGCTTTCTTCTCTCCCCTCCCTGTATGAAGGCGGTTCTGGAAGCCCTCAGAGGAGGGCAAGAAGGCCTGGGAAGGAGGATGCTCAGGGCAGGGGTGACAGGCATCCAAGGCGGGAGGCCTTCAGGTTTATCAGGCCGCCTGCTAGTGCCCCACAAGACCCGCGGGGCGGTGGCTGTCGGTTGGGCTGAGCGGTGGAGATCTGACTGACCCGCGGTGATTCCCCGCAGAGGATTTCGTGTTCCAGTTTAAGGGCGAGTGCTACTTCACCAACGGGACGAAGCGGGTGCGGCTCCTGGATAGATTAATCTATAACAGGGAGGAAGTCCTGCGCTTCGACAGCAACGTGGGGGAGTACCAGGCGGTGACAGAGGTGGGGCGGTCTATCGCCCAGTCCTGGAACAGACAAAAGGATGTCGTGGAGCGGGCGCGGGCGGAGGTGGACACAGTTTGCAGACAAAACTACCAGATGGAGAAGAGTTCTACCTTGCAGAGGCTAGGTAAGCACTGCCTTTGGATCTTAGCTGGGCTTGCCTCTCCGTCTCTCTTGTGGGTACCAGCAAGATCCAGCACGGTGGGTGTGGCCTCTCCCATGGGACCCAGGCCCACAAGGTGGATGGGGAGGCTGGGACAGGGAGTGGGGGTGGGGACAGACTCCCTCCCCCCCGCCCCTCCTCATAGCCCTTCACTGTTCCCCGCAGAGGTGGGTGGGTCCTCTAGTAGGGCTGTGTTTCCTATGCGGTTTCTACCACTTCTGCGTCTCCCCCGCTCCTTACTTAAGAGTGTTTGCTTTCTCCCTCCCCACCTTTCCCTAAGCAGAGCACAGTGAGCTCCTTTCCCTGCCCTGGTCCTGCAGTGAGCTGTGCCAGCTCCTGCCAAGCTTAGTGGGCTGGGCCTGGTGGGGGGAGGACACCTGGCACACGTGGTAAATATGTTAAGAGTTGTCACCAAGCCAAATTTTGACTTTTTGGTTTCATGTTATGATTTATCTCAATGCTGTTTTCTTAAATGGTTGCCACTAGTCCTGGACTTCTCTGAGGGGAGGAACTGCTCATCCTTGTCTGTCTAGTATATGACACGATGACTGCCAGGTAGAGTGAGTGCAAACTTTCGTGGAATTCATGAATAAATGCAGGTGGTCACCCATCCACTAGGCTCAAGAGAAAACAGAAGGGTAAATAAGCCTTGAAGACTGACTGTATTAATTAGTCTTTATTATATTGCTTCATGTTTTAGAGTAAACCTTGTAACTTCAATCTTAATAATTTAGGGTTTGTGAATGCAAAGTCTAAGAAAGAAAGTGTTTACTAAAAATATAAACAATATTTGAATGGTGTTGGAAGGCAGAATTTTAATTTCTTAGAAAATCTCAACAAATGTCAGAATAGGAAGAGCTGAACTTTTGGAGTCAATAAATTGATGCTAATAAATTACTGAATAAAAAAATTGTTTCAGGTTTCCTTTTGCCTAAACCCTACCCATCCTCCTTCCCCCGAACTCCTTCTCAGGTCATCATCATCCACTTAAGGGGTAGACATTCTGCAAGTTAATTGTAGATATTTAACAAGCAGCTATGTCTAGACAAATACCTTATCACACACCATCTATATAACACAATTTAATTTCACAGCTAACTACCTTGGGAGTTAGAGATTAGCAACCACTTTATATGTCAACAGGTGTGGAGGGAAAGAAGTCCTGCTTTACTATTTCAATTTTTTTTAAATTTTATGAATAGTGTCGTGTGTAATACAGCAATCTAATATTTAAAATTGCTTCATTGTATCAATTAATACCAAAGAATAACTTTCACAGGATGATTACTATTATTTCTTCAGACTTTAAAAAGTAAGCTGACTTGTGTTTATTTGAACTAATACAGTGGCCAAGCTCAGATCTTAATCCAAGACTCAGAATCCAGGGACCTTTTCACCCTGGTACCAAGACAGGACTCTTCTCCATGGGGAGACTATGCCTTGCAGTCTCACATCTCACTGTCTTTTCTTGTCTGTTACTCCCCTCAGTGGAACCTACAGTGACCATCTCCCCATCCAGGACGGAGGTTCTGAACCACCACAACATGCTGGTCTGCTCGGTGACAGATTTCTACCCAGGCCAGATCAAAGTTCAGTGGTTTCGGAATGACCAGGAGGAGAAAGCTGGTGTGGTGTCCACTCCACTTATTAGGAATGGGGACTGGACCTTCCAGATCCTTGTGATGCTGGAAATGACTCCCCAGCGAGGAGATGTCTACACCTGCCATGTGGAGCACCCTAGCCTCCAGAGCCCCATCACAGTGGAGTGGTGTAAGGACAATCTGTTTCCTTTCACCATGGGTCCCACAAGACAGAGAGCACAGCTTCCTCCAGCCCGTCCCATTCCATTCCTCATCCTTGATGTCACTCTGATGCCCATGGCAGGAGCATCAGAACAATCTCAATCTCATTGTCTTTCTAGATACTAGAGAGATCATTCTCCACACCCTGACTCTACAGCCCAGCCCTGTAGCTCTGAAGGATTTACACTCTGGCTAGGGACTGGGGTCTTGGAGTCCGAGGTTAGGATTGTGTCTGGAGGAGCAGGATCCAGCTTCCCCCTACTCTCACATACCCACTGGGTGTGAGGGTCTGTCAGTGGGTCCTTTCCTCCCCTTAAGGGTGGCCAGAGGGAGCACTGGGCTTGCCTTGCACCCCCAGGACCTGTACTTCAGACTGGACTTCAAGCTTCCCAGAGGGACATTGTGGGGTATGGGGACACTCAGACTGATACTCAGGCTCTGCTCCCAGGGGCACAGTCGGAATCTGCCCAGAGCAAAACGCTGAGTGGCATCGGAGGCTTTGTGCTGGGGCTGATCTTCCTCGGTCTGGGCCTTATCGTCCGTCACAGGAGCCAGAAAGGTAAGGCGCTCTGGGGAAATGGGGGAGAAGGGCTATGCCTGAGGCCCTCTGCTCAGGGGGGCCTGTGTCTCTAGATGTAGCTCTTTCCTTCTGACCCTGAAAGGAAGGAGGCTGGGCTGGTGGTGGGAGGAGATGGAACAACCTAGGGAGAGGCTTTGGACTCTGACGTTACTGGTTGAAAGGAGCCCCATCATGGAGGTCCCAGGTGGAGTATATTCTAGGGCTTCCCGACAGCTCATCATTGTCTCTCTGGCTCCTTTCTGAACACTTCCTTCTTTATAAGGGTCAGAGCATCTGCTTCCCTTCCTACTGGGGACAGTTTCATTCATTTTGGGGGACTTAACTTAGGGCAGTTAAGGTCCTGTGGTTGATGGGTAGGGAGAATGTAAAATTCCACTTAAGTTGCTTATCTTATCACCCTTTGGGGTGAGTGAGAGACTGGCTGTTTGTGTAACGAGACCTTTTTCTGTATTGTTTCTTTTTGTAGGACCTCGTGGGTCTCCACCAACAGGTACAAGTTCTGCTCTTATTCGGTGGGGGTGTGGGCATGGGTGAAAAAGGGCAGAGCATGAGGTGAGTGCGCTCAGTTCATGGCCTCGTCCCTGCGACAGAGATCAAGAGTTAGGGAGAAGTTTGCCCAGTTTCTGTAGGCAGACCCAGAGTTGTTCCAGAACCAGGCCACAACATTGGTGTCATCTTTCTGTGAAACGTGGAACCAGAGCCACGTCTTGGGTGTTAGACACCAGGATGATGCCCACGTTGTGTTTCATGTTGGCAGCTACTGCCTGTGAGAGTTTATAAATGAAAGGCTACTAGTGGTGGAACAAAGGTGAGTTATCATTACATTTAGTAAAACTTAATATCCCTTTAAAGGATAACAGCTGCTTCATAGCCTCCCACACATCTGTGTGCAGCTGGAATGCCATGTTCTCTGAGTTAATAATACCTTTCTAGAGATATTGGGGGAGGTGATGACAATAAGCCCTGGACCCCAGCTTTCTCTGATGCTGCAGTGACCCTGAGAGGAGGGGAGAGGGTGCATTCCTCAGCGTCCCTGTGCTGATCACCCTCTTTTCTACAGAGCTCCTGCACTGACGCCGGAGGATACCTGGCATTCTGCCTTCTGTGTTGTCTTCCTATCCTTCCCCAGAATTCCCAGCTGCCTCACACCCTGTCGCCCATGTGGATCAGAATCCTACAGTGCCTCTGACAGAGTCACCAGGTCACCTCCTGTGACCCCTGCCCTGAGGATCTGACTGTGGTGCTGCTTCCTGCACTGGCCTCGGAGCCTCTGCCTGTGAGCTCCCTGCCAGCAGCATCTACTCCTGCCCCAAGGGCTTTTCTGTTTCCATTCTTCCTTCTCCGATGGTGCAAGAGGAACACATTGAAGCCATTTAGCTGAATGTAGAGATTTTACAGTGACTAAACATTCTTATGAGTTCTCTGTACCCTGAGTCTTCTTAACTGGGTGGAGGCAGGAAACCAGTGCAGAAGGAAAGGATCATAACTGCTCCTTGAAGGGAAACTAGGGGCACCTGTGGGTGCCAAGTGAAGAGCAGTCAGAGGAGATAGAAGATCAATTCGATAGTCACATCCTTCATGGGTATTTGATATTGTTCTGTGCAATGGCCTAAGGATGTGCCGGCCTCTTTTTAGGTGTGGTAAGCGTTGTGTATGTAAGCTGACAGTGGGATTATGCAGGCCAGATATAGTGGCCCCTGGTGTCTCAGAGAACCACAGGGGTGTTTCCAGTATATCTTGGCAAGTCACATTGATCAAGGTCCATTTTTATTTTGAGAAAATGTAACTAACAATAAAAGTACTATTTTTGGTTTCATGTGATAGAAACCCAACTTAAGTTTACTTTGTTCATGTTATGAGGAAGTCTGGGGTCAAGCTGATTTCAGAAGTTACTAGATCCTGACATTCAATGAGATCTTTATTTCCCTCTTGTCTTTCTGTTATATCTCTATTTATGCACCTTTCTTTCTATGTGTCTCTCTTTGTTCCTCATATTTCTTTCCATGTGTCTCTCTGCATCTTTTTTTTTCCAGCATCTTTTTATTCTATTTTTTTTACTGTTGTAGTACTGTTAACATATAATATTATGTTAGTATCTGGTGTGCAATACAGTGATTTGACAATTTGGTACATTACTCTATGCTTACCACAATACATATAGTCACCATCTGTCACCTTATTACAATATTATTGACTACATTGACTTTTACTTTCCATGACTTATTTCTTTTATAACTCTAAGTTTGTACCTCTTAATCTTCTTCAGCTATCTTGCCTATCCTCCTATCCATCTTTCCTGTGGCAACCACTAGTTTGTTCTCTGTTTTTACAAGTCTGTTTCTGTTTTTTTTTTTTTGTTTCTTCATTCATTTGTTCTGTTTTTTAGATTCCACATATAAGTGAAATCATATGGTATTTGTCTTTCTTTGATTTATTTCATCTAATATAATACTCTGTAGCTCCATCCATGTTGTTGTAGATGGTAAGATATAATACTCTATGATAGAGTAATATTGCATTGTATATTTATGTCACATCTTGATCCATTCATCTATCAATGGACTTGGGCTGTTTCCTTATCTTGACTATTGTGAACAATGCTGCAATCAACATAGGGGTGTCCCTGCATCTTTTTATGTCTGTCTCTGCCTCTCTGTCTCTGTTTTGTCTCTCACTCTTTCATTGCATTTCTGCCTCTGTCTATTTCTATCTGCACCTTTGGCATTATTTATCTGGATCCTTTTATCTCTGTCTGCATCTCTCTCTTTCTCATTACCTCCCATCTTATCTCGTCTTTATTTCTGTGTGTGCATTTATCTGTCTGGTTCTGTTGTGTGTTTTTACAGTATCTACCAACATTTGAACAATTTTAGAAGATTCTGATTGGCCAAGCTTGAGTAACATGCACATCTCTTAAAAGCACCCTCACTTGCATTGGGTGCAGATAACTAGTCTTGCATCCACCACTTTTTCTGGGGACAGGTATTGGATCTTCCAGGTCTTGGTGAAGCTACACATGACTCCCCAGTGGAAATATGTTCACACCTGCCATGTGGAGCACCCTCCAGAGCCCACCACAGTGGAGTGGTGCAAGGGGCAGTTTGTTCTTATATCATGGACCCAGGGGATAAGTGGCTGAGTTCCCCTCTGCTTCTAGAGTCCCTTTTTGGGGCACCAACTCACAACCATTCCACCCCTTATCTCCTGGACAGTCTTCTAATGGCCTTAATGAGCTAGGATTCTCAGAGGATAGGGTTCCTCTTGTCTATGAACATAGTGACTTGTTGATTCCTGACAGGTGGTAAGGAAGTCATTATATAGAGTGGCTCCTTTGATGTGGGCCCAGCAATAAATGGTGGTCTCAATCTCAGTCTCCAGGTTTTGTTATTAAGACTGGGAACTTTACTCGGAGGTTATGAAGGGTGATGCCAATGAGTAACAGGCTTCTCACCTCCCTGCTCTCCCACTCACTCAGTGGGCCTCAGTAGCCAATGGCAGGTCCTTTTGTCTCCTGGACAAGGTCAGAATGGAGAATGAGGCTTCCTTGGTGCCTTTGTCTTTCTTATTCATGCAATGATCATTCAATCATTCATGGGCACTATGAAGGTGGACAAATACTGACATTCAGGATTTTGCTCTCCGAGGTCATGGTCTGAATCTGCCCTAACAAGATGCTGAGTGGTCAGAGTTTTGTACTGGTTTTGTCATCTTCCTCAGGGTAGGCATTGCCATTCCCTATGGGAGTCAAGAGGGAGTGACACTCTTGGGAAAATGGGAAGGGATTGTGCTAGATGTCCAGGGAGCCCTTGGTCTCTGTATGTAGCTCTTCGCTTTTGACCCTGCAAAGTCAAGAGGTAGGGCTAGAGATTAAACCAGATTCAGAGTTTAGGGAAACAATGAGCTCTGATTTTTCTAGTTGAAACCTAAGCTCTATTGTGGTGGTAAGTGGTAGAGTGTATTTTAGGATTTTCTTATAGGTCAGCATTGTCATCTTGGTCCTATGCAAGAAGGGTTCTTCTTCTTGTTTTTTTTTTTTTTTTTTTAAGGTTTTATTTTTAAGTAGTCTCTATGCCCAAGATGGGGCTCAAACTCAAAGCCCAGAGATCAAGAGTTGTATGCTCCACCAAGGAAGCCAACCAGGTATCTTTTTAATAATAAGATCAGAGTCTTCTTCCTTCTGTCCAGTGACAGTTTCATAGAAACAACTATTCCTTGCTGCCACATTTCACTGGGAAACATAGTCTTTAACTGATTATTTAGTCAAAATAAGAACAGCCTGTACAAAGAAGTTTGCTAACAAAAAGAGCTGAGTCTTTTATTTTTTTTTTTTTAAAGATTTTACTTATTTATTTGACAAAGAGAGATCAATAAGTAGGCAGAGAGGTAGGCAGAGAGAGAGAGGGAAGCAGGTTCCCCGCTGAGCAGAGAGCCCAATGTGGGGCTTGATCCCAGGACCCCGAGATCATGACCTGAGCTGAAGGCAGAGGCTTAACCCACTGAGCCACTCAAGCACCCCAAAAAGAGCTGAGTCTTATAAGGCTTATTCCTTGGAGAAAAATGTATGGGTGTCCTAGAATAATCTACTGGTTGTGAGTATTTGGTCTTACTTTCAATCAAATGGCAGTATTCTTTCTTATTCATGGGCAAATGCCATTGTAAATAAATACCACAATCTTTATCCATTTATCTATGGATATACTTAGGATATTATCATATCTTAGCTATTGTGCTAAGATGTGAATAATGCTGCAAAAGACATGGTAGTGTAGATATTACTTTGATATCCAGTTTTCATTTTCTTTGAATATATATCCAGAAGTGAGATTGTTGGATCATACAGTAGTTCAATTTTTAATTTTTCAAGGAACATCCTTACTGCCTTCTATAGTGGCTATCTACCATACCAATATACACATTCCTTCTGAGAGTGCATAAAGTTCCCTTTTCTCCACATCCTCACCAGAACTTATCTCTTGTCTTTCTGATAACTCAAATAAGTGAGAGTTGCTATTTAATTGTACTTTTGATTTGCATTTCCCTGATGGTTGCCTAAGTTGAATATTTATATATATGTACTGCTGGCAATTTGTCTGTCTTCTTTGGAAAAATGTCTACTCAGTTCCTCTCCCCATTTTTAAAATTGTGGTCTTCAAAGTTACATTTTTTTTTTAATTTTAAATTTTACCTCAAGTATATTTAACATATAGTACTATATAGTTTCACATGTGTAGTAGAGTTATTCAACAATTCTATATGTAACTCAGGGTTCATCATAATAAATGTAGTCTTAATCCCCAATGTTGATTTCCCCCATCTGCCCACCCACCTCCCCTCTGGTAGCCCTCTGTTCTCTACCATTAATAGTCCATTTTTTGATTTTTCTCTTTTCTCCTTTGTTCATTTTGTTTCTTAAATTCCACGCATGAATGGAATCATATGGTATTTTTCTTTCTCTGACCAACTTGTTTTGCTTAGCATAATACTCTCTAGCTCCATCTACATCATTGTAAATGGCAAGATTTCATTTTTTTTTTTTATGGCTGAGTGATAGTCCATTGTGTATATATACCACATTTTCTTTATCCATTCATCAGTCCATTGATTGATTTGGCTATTGTTGATAATGTTGCTATGAACATTGGGGTGCACGTATCCCTTCGAATTAGTATTTTTGTATTCTTTGGGTAAATACTTATAGTGCAATTGCTGGATTGTAGGATAATTCTACTTTTAACTTTTTGAGGAATCTTCATACTGTTTTCTAGAGTGGCTGTACCAGTTTGCAGTCCCAGCAACAATATAAGAAGGTTCCCCTTTCTCTGAATCCTGAATACCTGTTGTTTCTTGTGTTGTTAATTTTAGCTATTCTGACTGGTGTGAGATGACATCTCATTATCGTTTTCATTTGTATTTCCTTGATGAGGAAGGATGTTGAACATCTTTTTGTGTGTCTGTTGGCTATCTATATGTATTCTTTGGAAAAATATTCTTTTCATGTCTTCTGCCCTTTTAAAAAATTAGATTATTTGTTTTTTAGGGGTTGAGTTTATAAGTTCTTTATACATTTTGGATATTAGCCATATATCAGATATGTCATTTACAAATATCTTCTCCCATTCCATAGGTTGCCTTTTATTTCATGGACTGTTGCCTTCACTCTGCAGAAGTTTTTTATTTTGATGAAGTCCTCATAGTTTATTTTTACTTTTATTTCTGTTGCTTCAGGAGATATACCTAGTAAGGAAATGCTGTGGCCAGTATCAAAGAGGTTGCTTCCTATGTTTTATCTAGG